ATATATATGTATTATAATATAATTATTGTGCTCAGTGAACTGTAATGTACTTTTAGACAAAACTTTGTTGAAGAAGAACCTCTATTTGAAAAGAGACAGAACTTTTTATCAATACCTGTGGCAACATCTTATATCACTCATAATTATTGTGTAGAATCTTCCTTTTTTTTCAGGAACCTGAATCATCATGTACCGTAGCATACAATCTTTGGCTTTTCGGATTCGATTCCAAAGCATACTACATATGCAGCAAGGAGATCATCTTTCAAAGCATTAAAACCTGTTCCAATGTGTGACTGTCTCATTCTTTTTAAAGTTTGTTTGTTTGTGTAGGAGGCAGGGTGGGAGGGGGGAAGGGGGAGGGGGGAGATAAGAACAACAGCCATATTAATACTCACATTGAATCTAGGCGAGTGACAAGTCTGCATAATGTTTATTTGTACATTTTAAAATTAACTCTTAACCCTATCCATACGTCGATTTTACTAGCATGTCCGCCATACAACATGGGGATCCCTGTGCCACCACATCCAAAGAGGAAATTTATTCGTTAATCCGATCCGTACGCTTTGCGTAGCAGTCTGTCAAAATGATTTTTTTTAGAAATACTGAAAGTCTCAAAGAGATCTTTGTACTAGAAGTATTCTAAAATGTGAAGAATATAACCCTGGGGATACAAAATGACCCCAGGGCGTACGGATAGGGTTAAAAGATACAGCTGACACATATACGAGGTATCGCGGTGAAATCAGGCGTTCGTCAAAATAAGGAAATTAAAGAAAAAGCCATTTTTTCTGCAGGTGAAAAACGTTGCTGAAAGGCGCAAAAAAAGTAAATTTTCCGTTTCCAAGGATTATCAAGCTATGCCCATATACTTTGGCTGCCAGTTTCTCACTACAATGTAAATTTTCCACTGGAACCAGGTGGCCCCACCACCTTCAATGGCAAATATCTCGACTTCTATTTAAGATAGACTGGTATTTTCTTCATTTAAAGCAAGACAAACACACAATCTTTAAGACGATACCAATAACTCAACATGCCCAAAAATTGACGAGTGCCTGATTCCACCGGGTCATGACATACGTCTGATCAGCAGCAGACTAAAGGCAACGTTGCGGCACATTTCAAACCAATGTAGACAAATCGGAAACAAGCATTTGCCTATTTTATGATATGATTGATTCACATTATAAAGAAAAGAGAACTGAAAAGGTTGTGCTTCTTCTTTTAAGAGTAGGCCTACCCAAAAATAGTGCATCTTCAAGTCTTGTCTAATGACCAGAATGCATTTCCTCAATGAGTTTAGACGCCAGTGAGCACCCATAGTAGCCACTATATAATGGTAGTAGCCACTATATTAATACTATTATATATCAGTACAACACATGTAGCCACTATAATGGTAGTAGCCACTATGTGTGTGAATGTGTGTGGTAGAAGCCACTAGCCGCTTGTTATACCCCCCCCCCCCCCCATGGCATTCAGTTCCAGTTTGCAGACTTCCTCTCATATATTAAAAAAAATATATATATATAATATATATATTATTAATACTTACTTACCTCCTACTGATGTTAATATATAAGGACTTCCCAGCATGTCTCAGGGTTCTCTGTTACAGTGATTTAGGGGACAGATTAACAGAGAACTTAGCAAGACAGTAAATTTTAATGCATTCTTATTAAACTTTAACTTTAAAAATCAAACTGTAACCACTGCAACTCCCATAATGATCAAAGTATAAAGAAGGTTTCACCCAAGAAGTGGGTCACATACTCAAGGGAAGCAACTTGAGAAGACTGGAATCAATCAAGAATAAGAAAACATGAGCAAAAAGTGTTTGTGTGACAGTAGATCATAGTGACAGCATTCTGTTAGAAAAAAAATTCTCTACACCTGGGCCAATTTCAAACAAAACCTTTCATATGATAAACTTGATCATCAAGAGACCAAAATCAAATTTTCTCCAAGAATTTTCAACTATTAACGTCAGGATAACTGTCAGGCATACAAAAGGAGTTAAACAGCAATACACAAAAAACTAAATCCAAATTTTTTTTTTAAATTTAATTTTTACGTCCAAATGTTAGCCATAGTCCATAGCACCATATATATATCCATAATCATCACAAAGTCATAACAAAACCTGACAGAAGTCAGGTTCCTGGACATTTATTTTACAGTAGTCTCCGCCTAAGATCCCGGTGCTCGGGAGCAAAGAAATGCGGGATCTTAGGCGAACCGAGATCTTAACCAACGATCCTAGGGAAGAATCTATGGGTCAGTAAAATGGTCTCCCTCCACCTTAAAATGAACTGACGTGACCCCTTGGTGGGTTTATGACATATAGCGAGCAAAGAGTGGTTAACCTTGATGGCCTATCACAGTGCATAGTGCCATGAGGCGTGCAATTTTCACTTACTATCCTGAGTCTCAAGATCTACGCTTATTCAGTTGCCCCTACCCTGTACCTGTCGAAAATTCATAGCTTTCCATCTCTGACCGAGTCCCCCCCCCCTCCCCAAACGCCTTTGTCGTGAACACTCCAATTAAAATTCAGTCTGTCTAGCAAATTCGGGCGTAGAGACAATTGCTGCAATCAACGCCTACTGCAATGGTCAGGGAAGAGTTCACGGTTCGATGTGATCCCACCTGGAACGAACATGTAGGCCCTACCACCCAGCGAGTGATGTAAATTTAGAGGGAGAGCTCAGGTGTGAGTGCGATGCGTAGGGAAAACAAACGCGTCGGTCAGTTCACACCCCGGTGTGATCCCGTCTGGGGCAAACATTGTGTCGTTTCATCCAGTTTTACAACGTGTATGTGATCACATTCACGATAGTGGCTGATATTTGACACGACGGACAGTTTATTGATCTCAACTTTTCGCTCTTGCTTGATCGGCTGTGCCTGCCCGGTTTTTTGTTCCCCAAATTATGATCTGAAATGCGGGATCTTAGCCGAATGTAGACCTTCAGAGTGAATCAGAGCGGGATCTTTGGGGTGACTTTTGTATAGTAAAAATTCTGTTTTCTTAAAACAACGGGATCTTAAGCGAACCGGGATCGTAAGCGGTGGGATCTTAGGCGGAGACTACTGTATGAGAAAAAAACAGCTGTATTGTTTATGTTTATACAGTCGAACTCCCTCTTATGGCCATCCGTCCATGACAATCACCTAAGTACAAACAATCACTTTTGAATCCCCCCCCCCCCCCCCTTGCATTAAAAAAAAAATTATAATGACACTATCCAAGATGCCCACTTGTCCATGACAATCACGGATTGTGTTTGTCAGCCGCTTTTCCCCTAAACAATGGGAGGCCGTCATGAACAAGTCCAACTGCATTTCTCTTTCTTTCTCCATGTCATCCAACATCACTGACTTCCGACAGGCAGAGTTTTGTATTTCTCTGTGGCGTTAAGTAGAGCCATTCGAATTCCAAGATCTTCGTCAGAGTGACCGTCCATGGGTGTAATCACCAGCTCTGATTTAGGCAAACACTAAAAGAGAAAAGACAAACATACAAGTGAATCAGAAAAAAAAACATGGGCCAAACAATTAGGAAATGTACTTGCCTCAGCAAAAGAATCAGGGCATAAAGAGAGATTAGAGAAATAACCAAAAAAAGTTATCCTCAAAATTATCAGAATGTAAACACAGATTATAAGTAATATAAGACAAATCAACCAACAAAAAAAAGGCATCTGCAAAATGATCAGAATGTAAGTAGGCCTACTGTACTGATACAGTGGAGTCCCCTTGATCCGAACATGGTAAATCCAAAAACGATAAACTCTAAGAAAATAAAATCCCCATTTTTTTTTCTTGTCTTTATAAGGAAACTATCAATTAGCCGAAATACTCCCATTTCTAAACCGAAAAGAATTTCAAGGGACATGTCACCAATCTTCACCAGCAACTCTCAAGTAATGCAAATCCTCCAGTCTTCTGCACTTCAAAGAAGCCAAATTGACAAAAGAGACACCAGAATGCATGTGAGTCAATTGCGAGCCAATGTCAATAAACATCAGTAGTATGAAATGTATTTTAAATAACAGTAAATCAATATCATATGAGAGTAAAGACCATGGCTATTCGAACATAGAGCAGTCAATAGCTTGAAAACCAGACCTTTGTGTAAAACCAACTACACGATATATAGACAAACAAATTTTATCAATGTCCAAGAGTTGATGTTGAAAGGTTTGATACAACCATTCATATCCAGAAAACTGAGCTCACCTTATGAAGTTTCCAAGCTGACTCCATTGGAGTAATGACGTCGAAGCGCCCATTGATGATGGTGACGGGTATATCCTTCAGCTTGTGGACATTGTCTAAGATGTAAGAGTCACTCCCCAGGAAACCTCCATTGATGAAATAATGGCTGAATGACCAGAAGCAACAGTCCATTATACACTAACCCCTTAGCAGAGGCTTACATTTAAGACATTCCAACCATAAAAATGAAGTAATCAACTTTCAGCAAACTCGCAGGGGCAAAATCTTTGGTTCTGTCCAGACAAGGTTCACTTAAAATTAGAAAGAGAGAGAGTGTGAGAGAGAGATAGAGCAAGAGAGGGAGAGAGAGAGAGAGAGAGAGAGAGAGAGAGAGAGAGAGAGAGAGAGAGAGAGAGAGAGTTTAGGCAAAATCTAAAGGCACATTTGTTCAACACTATTATCTGCCCAGTAAATTTTATGTGTGAGAATGTGTGCACGTCTGGCAGTTTTGTGTGTGTGTATAAGTGTGTGTGTGTGTGTGTGTGTGTGTGTGTGTGTGTGTGTGTGAGTGTGGGTTTGTGTTTTAATTGGTCTATTGGTCTAACAATGTGCATTTTCTTTCCTTTGATTCGTCAGTTAAGTTGAGTGATAGTCAGGGATAATTAATTCTGGATTGTACAGCGGTTAAAGCCTTCTACTCTTCTAGTTCTACGGATTAGGCACTGTATAAATTCCGGTCATTATTATTTCTACTATTATCATTATTATCATTATTATTATTATTATTATCATCATTATTATTATTACTCTTACCACTCAATCCTTGCAAATTTGAGGCAAAACTCTGCATCATCAGCATACTGAACATAGGATGGGTCAATCTGAGGTCTAATGGTCTGCAGCTCCCATAATGACCAGGCTCTGGCTGCAGCAAGACACACATCATAGTCCTCTGAGGTTAGACGTTTGTAGTAGGCCTTGATCATGTCCTTACGTTCTTCCTGCAAGTGTGCAACAGTATAAAGGGGTCACAGTCCTCGCCAGTTTGGTATTATCTTATTAATTGTATCAAAGCTGACAAGACTGCACTTCTTATTTCTTTTTTTTTAAACAAATGTTAAATCAACATTGACAACTTCAATCAGTAATAAGCCACTAGTGAATTTAAATTAAGAATATCAAAAGCATTATGTACAAAGGACCATGATATTAAAAGGTAGAGTATGGATAATCTGGCAAAAACAATACAAGCTCTATCATCTTCATTTCTCTACCACAAAGCATTGTGTGTTATGTCCACAATGATGAGAAACAATAATAGGCCTAGATACTGAAAAAGCAAAATAAACAATTTGGAAGCAGGCTGAGCATACTGTATTTCCTAGCCAACTTACAAACTGTATTTTGTCTCTATTGAAGTTTTGGCTAAAAGCCCATAGATAATATCTTGTATAAGAAATGCTGACTGAAAATATAGAAAATAAGTATACAATACATATAACATTCAGATACTTACGGGTGGGATTATCTTTGAGTATTCCTCATACAACTCAGGCCAAAGCATACTGCAACCATTCACATAAAACCAATCTACTTCTCTCCTACAGAAAAAAAAAGAATGAAAAAAATGTATGAACATTGGTAAACTGCCAAAATCACTGAATGTTAATTTGCATGTCTCAGTATCACTGATACTATCAGAATACAGCTAATGAATTCATGCAAGAACACCTGCATAAGGTGGCTATTCTAAAATTCTATCAACAATTTTTTTAAAATTACATACACAGTCAAAGATATCCAAGACAGCCATCCATTATTGAGACGGAAAGTGTTTGTCTTAGACAGGTTGACGTCTTGTGTGATTATAACATTAAGAAAAAATGCAAGAGTCAAGAGGGGGAAGTGGGAAGTGGTCATTTGTACAAGTGATTAAAAGCGATTGCCATGGACAGGTGGACGTTAGGGCAGGTTCAACTGTAATTGTGTCACGACCTGGTGGAATCAGGCGCTCATCAATTTTGGGGCATGTTGAGTAATTGGTATTTTCTTCTGAATATGAAAGAAATACCCATCTATCTTGAATAGAACTCAAGATATTTGTGATTGAAGTAAGTGAGGTCGCCCGGTTTCAGTGGTGAAAATAGTGAGAAAATGGCCACCAAAGTTTGGTAACCCCAATAACTAAAGAGTCCTTGAAAAGAGAAAAATAACATTTCATTTTGTGCCTTTAATAAATGCTTTTCGGTAAAATTCACACGGAAATGTATTTTTATGGACATTAAAGAGGTTGAGTCAAAAAATAAAAATTTGATAAAAATTTCCAAACTGGTGGAAAAATGCCTGTTTATCCGATTTCTGTATTTTAACGAACTCCTGATTTCACCACCCTGCCTCACAATTGTATTCCCTTTCTTTTCATCTAGAATAAACATCCGTATAAAGCATGGTGACCATAACAGTTTTGATATTTTTCGCTTTAGAAACAAACATTAATGTCAAAAGTCATCCAAAATGGGCTTTTTTTCGCATTGTGATTTATTCAATACTTCTGGCTCTCTGACTGTGCGAATAAATCTGAACTCCCACAGAGGATGGGCTTCCAACTGGACATGATCTGGACAATTGGTTATGTGTTCAGATTCCACCAAGATTGTAATAAACTACTTTAGCAAGGCTAGTATCAGAGTCTCGATTATAAAGACCCCATTTTCAATTTCAAACAACAAACAGCAATGGAACTGGAAGTCCATGTAGCTTTTCAATGAATCAAGAGGTTGCCTGTCTTTCAAAACTGACCCAATCCTCCTGACTTAATTGATGATTTGCACATTTTGATATATTATATTGGAAATGATTATATAAAAAATACAGTACATAAAACCCACAATTAGAAGTAACTGCACTTATTTGAGCTAGAAGCAAATCTGGTTTCCACTCCGTCGTCACTCTTTAAAAGAAACAACTTAACAATTTATTCATGTCACCTCGTTTTAGTACCAAATTTTTAAATGAGCAAGATATCTAAAGATAATAATACAGGTAAACAAATTATATCATACTCACTTTGCGCTGAGAAATATTCCCTGTATTACGAGTGCTTTAACCCTTTGTGGATGTGACTCAGCATAAACCAAGGCAAGGGTGGAACCCCAGCTGCAGCCAAATATCACCCAATCCTCAACATCCAATTTCTCTCTCAGCTTCTCCATATCAGAGACAAGATCCCAAGTTGTGTTATCCTAAACAAGCGCAATTTAAAAAAAATGATAAAACAAATCATAAAGTAAAGCAGTTTTAGTTTTAACAAACCACAGAAAAGAAGCATTTTGCACTACAAACCATCAAAGAGACAGGTATCAAATAAGTTTATTTTTTTATCCAGAAAGGAATCAAAAGTACTTTTTGGGGGGTTTGAGCAAACCCCAAGACATAGTAAGCTACATTATTATTCTACATGTACAATTAGACAATAAAAATAATTGTCACATTGAGTAAACTATGAACACAAAATAGGAAATGAGACATCTTTGCATAGTTAAAAACACATAAAACATTACCATAAAGTTATATTGTGAACTTGAAGTGAGTTCAGGATTAGCAATGATTCAAAAGTATGATATCATATATGTTTTAAAAGAAAAGTGTTTTCATTTGAAATATTTAGAAAGTTAGTTCTTTAACCCCCCCCCCCCCCCCCTAAAATGTGAGGGTAATAATATTATAAATTATGATCATATTATACATTTCATTTTATGGCTAACAGGTCCAACAACTGAAGCACAATCAATGGCAAGGAACTCTGAAGTGTACTTCATAAACATGCCACAGCCTACTTTCACTTCAGCCAAGGGTGTAGATCTGCCTGCTCCTCGTTGATCAAACAAGATAATTCTGTAGTACTCAGGGTCAAACCAGCATCTTTCTTTGGGAACCACCACACCTGCACCTGGCCCGCCATGTCTGAACAATGGGAGGAAAATAACTGAATAATTGACCTATCAAAACCTCAGCGTTACATGTACACAATCTCTAAATAGAGTGGACTTCACATGAGGGAACTATTTACTTTTTCTATGAAAAGTCCAAGAATATGCCTCCTGAGAACAACACAGCTATATATATATATTCACACCACTGACTGAAAGAGTAGATCACACAAATGCATCACCCTCTAACAATCAGCATTCTTCCAGATTATAAATTATGCTTTCCTCCCTGGAATTTTTTGTATGAAACTCTTCCTCTTCTCTAGTACTGAGTCACTGAGTATGGTATAATTCTGAACTGGGACTGATCCCCAGAAGACAAGACTGATTAAGGCAGACCAGTGGGAAGTGGGAAAGAAAAAGGGCATTATAACAGAGGAATGCAACGGCCATCTTCTTAGAGAAATGTGGCATTTTATGATAACAACATGCCAGAAACAAGCACTTAAATGAAAAGCAAATATTCATTTATTCGAAATAATCTATTCTGGGTTTTTTGTAAACAAATGTTTTTCATTTTAATTTTCATTGACTGAACATTGCTTCACTATACAGAACAATCATAAAGTTGGTTTAGCAGTATAATGCTATCTCCAAGTCACTGGTTTTATTCCTCTGGCGTTGACCAGATGACAAGGACATGTGGTTACTTGAGAGAGGCATTGCGCTGCCAAGAGCGAAATGCTCGCAGCTAAAGGGATTTGAAAACAACAACAACAACAACTGGTTTTGTTTTTATGTGAAAAATGAAAGAACTCACAAAAATAAAACAGGTAAACCCTTTGGATTTCCAGACTGTTCGTAGTACAAGCTGTGCAGATCTGAGACCTAATGAGGATAGCAGAGGAATACAAGTAAAAAGGAGGAATAAATCAACCAACCAGACCAATGACATAGACAACAGAGCAGAAAATAGAATCTATATCTTTTGTTTAAAATCACGTTATTCATGAACACATTACAATTGGGGACACATAAGTTTTTTTTAATCAATTTAAAAAAAAATAGAATACCCTACACAAAATCTTGAGCAATTCTGGAAGATGATGAGAAACTAATTACATTTTTTTCCCCACTTAAAAAGTGTTACCTACTTTGGCAGGGACATGGTTAAAGTCCGAGACAGACAATAAGACGAACAGAATCACATGCAATTTTGACTACTTGAAATTATTTGAATATATATCTAGCCTACTCAGCTGTTGGTCTAAATACTTTTGAATTCAGCTCTTTGAATTTCAAAAAAAAATATTTGAAGGTTGCACCTTGTACAAGCAAATTAGCAAATTTTATACAGATGATCATTAATGAAAGCATCAGTTCATAAAACATAGGCCTACCAATAAATCAAATGAACCTCAACTAAAACTGTGTTATAAAAATAAACAATAGTTGCCCACAAAATAAGCATGTTTTTATCATACCATATATGTTTGACAAAAAGTGGGGGGGGGGTCGGGGCATTTAAAAAAAGGAGTCTTTGGCATGTGTCATGGGGAACAAATTAAGTACCCAAAAAATGTAATTGTCAAATTCTGTCACTGCTAAGCTAATCTTAAGGGGGAAAAAAAGATTTTAAAAATTAGCTCTTCATATCCTCAGAAAAAAGTTTCTGATGGGCGAGTCATAAAACAGGACCATCCAATTAGTTCATCCCCAAACATATTTCCTGTAACTCCCATTCACCCTTGCGCCCTCATACCAAGGATTATCTTTCACTAATGGACAAATTATACAGTGGAAACTACATATAACAGGCCCGATAATAACAGGGATCCGGTAATAACGGATTTTTTAAAACCCCGTGTTTTCCAACTCTTTGTCTCTATTAAAAGTTATTGGCAATACAGGGTCTTATCAGAGCCCAATCAGTTATAGCAGGGACAAAGGTTCGTAAACACTGTGTAAAAAGAGAGAGAGAGAGAGAGAGAGAGAGAGAGAGAGAGAGAGAGAGAGAG